GATGGAAATGTATACAAATACTAAGACTTTCGTCAGCACAACCGTTGGAAACACAGATGCATTTGACATCGGCGTTGGAGTTCACCAAGGCTCGATTCTCAGTCCACTGTTATTTATAACTGTGATGTAAGAAATCACAAAACTGATACGCACTGGTGACATTTGGAATCTAATATATGCTGATGATAAATTTTATTAGCCACGTCTGAGCATAATGCAGCACAGATGTTTGAAACTTGGAACACCAGATTCGCCGATCATGGATTCAAAGTCAACATCAGCAAAACCAAAGCAATGAACACTGGTGAACCCATCCAATCCACAGCTACTGGACGATGGCCTGGTTCAGTTTGTAAAATTTGTGTAGGTAACAATTCAATCAAGTGTCAGCAGTGTAAGCAGTGGTGTCACAAACGTTGTTCAAAAATAATTAGTACTTTATCTAAAGTGTCCAATTTTGTTTGTCCTACTTGCATCAATCCACAACAACAAATACGAGATAGCAATGTTTTTGAACTCATAAAGGTAGAGAAAGTCGCATCATTCCAATATCTAGGGGATGTTCTAGATTGTACTGGAACAGCTGACGCAATGGATACAGAAGCTGATGAATGGAAAAAAAAGTCCGACACATAACGGATGGAGACAATAACATAACGGATGGAGACAATAAACGAGGATTGATTGATTGATTTTTTTTAAATACTCAGCTTCAGCTTTGCTCAAACATACCAGATGTAGCTTATTTGAATACGTGTGAATTGTAGATTTGTTATTAAAACCTAAACCCGTAACCAAAATTTATTTTTAATTTTGGTATATCTTGAAGCTACTAATGTAAGAAAGCTAATTGTCATTTTTTATTTAATCATGACATCAACTCGTTTTTGTATTTTTTTAAGAAACCCTATCCAGAATTATCAAATTTTAAGTTTTGAGGAAATTTTTTTCAAAGTTTATTGAATTTAAAAGAAAGAAAAGAACTAAAATATGATAATATAAATAACATTGAAAGCAATCAATTGCAGTGAATATTTTTTACTATCCAACCACCGTTCGTATCTAAGTGTTATCTCATGTAAAGTTTATGATTAGAGAACGGGAGATGCCGAACACAGTTCGTAAGTTTTACAATAAATTGGAAATTGTTAATTTACGTCACGCTCCAACCAATATTGTTATAATTTAATGCAATAAACGCTTTAACGTTTTACAATTTTAACACTTTGCTCAACCAAAGTTTTTTTTTACACAGCGATAAAAAGTAAATATGACATCTAAAAGATTCTTTTGTAGTCTACCATTGTCCAAAATCTGTCCTACTGAAATGCTGGGAATATGTGGCGAAAATGGCCATTTACGATGTGACTGCGAGAACAAAGAACAAATAGGTAGATCTTATGACGTGAAGTCATAAAACCCAAAAAAATGACTAACGAAATACGAATTTAAGCCAACTTGGGCAGAAGTTTGCAGGTATAATTTACGCCCCTTGCACCGAAATTAAAGTTTTCAAGCTACACCAAAGTCGCAACGACCTTAAGTCAAACGAGAAGTCTGTCAATTTCAAGACCCTACTTGGTATCCAACTTGAAATATGACGTTTTAAATAAGTACATTCTTTGAACAACTACAAAAGTTACGGAGAAGTTTTTCGAAATGTTCAACTTGGCAATTTTGTCTGTATTCTCATTCATCACCGACAAGTGCATAATAGCTGTAGATTTATCAACAAAACATCATAAAACTATAATAAATTTAGAAAAATGTGTTCTCAGATTAAAAAAAAAACAAAGGGTGTAATGAAGACTAGCAAAGTGAAATGATTTTGCTTATTCATGTTTAACGATAGGTTTCATGTTTTAGAATAATTTAAAAATTTTTTTTCCAGTTAAGTCAAATAAGTCAGATAAGAAAGTTTATAAAAGATTATTCTCTATTCTTTGTTGGTGCACGCGTTTATCAACTCTTGTCTACACTATTGCAATTTTTATTTAGCCGTCGAATTAGAGATCACCTAAATTCATCAGTAAATGTTGACTAATAAAGTTGACTAATAGAAAAAATAATTTTGTAAAATCTCAAACTTTGTTTTTGTACAAATAGTAACAAAAGTTCATTGTTGTACTCATAGGTTTGTTAAAATTAATTTTTGTTAATTATTTTTTTCAGAGATATGGATGAGTTGTTGAGCAAAATGTCACATTTGGAATTCTATAACAAAAAACTTGTAAACGATAAAGTTGATTTGATTAATAAAATTAATATGATTGACGATTATATTTCTCAGCTCACGGAGGATAACATAACATTGAAGGAAGCCAATAAAAAGTTACATCCAATTTTATGTTATTTTTTTAATGATATAAAAATTATTTGCGTTAAAAAATATTGTTTTTATATTGTAATTTTGACGAAGTTTTTTACTAAGCTTAATTATGATCGGATCGCAACCTGTTTCTTTCTCTCTCTCTCTCTCTCTCTCTCTCTCTCTCTTTTCCTTTCTCCTCCTTCTCTCTTCTCTCTCTATCTCTCTCTCTCTCTCTCTGATTGATGTCAGAAGTGACAATCGTGCAAGTTAGGGTTAGGATAATAATAATAATCTGTACATATGTATATATATATATATATATATATATATATATATATATATATATAATACTCGGAGAATCAAAACTTGGAAGCTGAAAAGCAATATTCATTTAGAAAAATTTCAACGGATTATCGCCACACAGTTAGACCACCAATCGCAAGCCAGTACAGATTGGAGTACATACAAAACCGTTTTGATAAACGCTGCAACTACAGTTTGTGGGAAAGCTAGTACAAAACGCCAGCACGAACGGGGCACTTGGTGGTGGAATGACAGTGTACACAATGCAATAGCTGAAAAGAAAGCTGCATACAAGCAATGGGAAAAATCGAATTAGTCTGAAGGACCACATCAAATCTACCGAAATCCTGCGTCGTGCTGGTTTAGATGATATAAAGGACGAATGCCGGCAACACCGTCTGCGGTGGTTTGGTCATGTGGAAACAGTGCCATAACTTCTCTTGCAGATGTGGAAGTACCTGGCACACGTCCCAAAGGCCGTCCAAAGAAGTCCTGGTCGCAAACAATCGAGCAAAACATGAAAGCTCTAAATTTAAATGAAATGGATACAACTGATCGTCTAATTTGGCGCAAAAAGTTGATGGCAAAGAAAACAACGTCCTACCTCGAGAAACCGGGTCTCTGGACGCAAAACGAAAATTGATTGATTGATTGATATATAACACTCGTTCAAAAACATATATGTTGTTGTGTTGTCCACCGAAGCGCCGACGACGTTGCGTCGCCATTAAGTCGGCCTTCTTGAGATCGTAGATGATTTCTTAATCTAAAATCTGATGCGCCTAGTTTACCCCAATGGGGGCATCGAGGACCAGTTGGTTACAATTCTCTTGATGTTGCTGCATGACGTATAGGTTGACGCCTGTAATAGGCATTTGTCCATTCCACATAAAACTTGTGAGACAATATTTACAAATCTTCCATATAGACCGATCTTTCGCTATTTTTTCAAGTCCAGTCGAGTTGATGTTACATTTCTGAAGTACGCTTTTCACATGATCTACGAATCACTTCTTTGGCCGACCGACTGAACGACAGTCATTTGATAGTTCGCTGTATAGCAATCATTGACATCACGGTAAGATTGTGATTTAAAAAGACGCGATTTCTTAGTCTGCCAAATGCAACCGACGCCACCCTAATTCGATGCCCAATTTCACGATCCAGACAGCACTCAGTACTGAGCATACTACCAAGATACATGATTTCATGCGAATCATTGAGAGAGCATCTCCACGAACCACGAAAGGTATAGCTGGTTTGTTTTGATTTGTAGCGAGTGAGAGAACCTCGGTTTTTGCAGTGTTAACAAGTCCTGCGCGACTATAGGCACACGACAAGATATTAAAACTATTTTTGAGAGCGGAGATGGTTTTGGCAGGAATAGCAGCGTCGTCAGCCTATTGGAATTTGAAAATTCTATCGTGTGATACTTTGCTTTCCGCCTTGAGTCTTTGTATGTTAAAATGGCTGCCGTTGAGTTAATGAGTCGAGTTCTGATTGGATGGTGTTTGAGTTAGATGATGGGATGATAAGGTAAGTGTCGTCAGCGTATTTGATGATGTGATTAGAGCTATAAAAAGTTTGGAGAGTAGAAGCATGATGATAAAGGTAGATGGTCCAAGAACAGAACCTTGAACTACGCTAGAATTAATAGGTAGAGTAGAGGAAAGAGTAGATCTAAAGAAAGTAGAATGACTCCCATTAGAAAAAAAATTTATTATAAACAGCCCAACAGATGAATATTGAATATCGAATATTGTAAATGTTGTCAGGTAGAGGAAGAGAGGCTAACTTATTTGAAAGTGAGAAGTAATTGAGAATGTCTTTAGAAAAGTCGAGAGCAATAAGACAAACATTATTGTTTTTAAGGAAAGATGTTATTGAGGAAGTAAGAGAGATAGTGGCGGATGAACCTGTAGGGCGAAATGCAAACTGATCTTGTAATAGTGGTTCGATGGGTGGTTGAAACATGGATAGACGAATGACCTAACGATAATTTTTTTTAAATACAGGAAAGTATGGGGATGATAGATATTGGACGATAATCTATTGGTGATGATGGGTATTTGGTTTTAGGAATTGGATGAATTGTGCTGGATTTCCATTGTGATGGGATGAATGAATGCATTAAGCAGTGATTGTAGAGTGAGCTTAAGGTGCTGGAGATGAATGGAGCGATGATTTGTAGAAACTATGCTGGTAGACTGTCTGAACCTGTACCGGATGGACAGGCCTTCGTTAGCATGTGCAGGACGGAGTATGAGGTAAATTGTTGATGTTGATGACGACTATTTATTGTTGCTGCTTTTGTTGGTGGAGTTTTGTAGGACGGGTCGGTTGACATGAAAGCAAAGTGGGTGTTGAGTTTATTGGCATCAATTTGCTATGAGGTTGACGTGTTGAATGATTTGTCAGAGCCTCTGATCTTGTTGACTTGGTCACACATGGCTTTGCTTCCACGCTTACTGTTAGTGAATGTTTTTGAGCTGAAGCTGATAAGTGTGTCGATGTATTTGGTGATCGCTGCTTTGAGGTTGAATCCTGATCTCATAGATTTATTTTTTTGGCGAAGTAGATATTTGATGAATGGGCTAATAAATGAAGGGTCTGATGATCTGATCGTGATGTATGATGTTTGGTAGTACGTGTTGTAATTTGAGTAACAATAAAATAATAAAATCATATTATTGATTTTATTAAATTTATCAAAACAGTGTTTCAAAAAATTGTCAATAGAGTTAGTTATGAACGTATTATCTTTAATATTGTTATTGTTATTATTATTGTTATTATTATTATTATTATTATTATTATTATTATTATCATCATTGGCACCATTGTTAATATTATTATTGTTACAAGTTTTATTACTATTAATAGGATTATTATTATCATTGTTGTTTTTAATATTATCAAAATTAAAAGTGTTATTATTAAAAATTGCTGGTAGAGTATTGTTGGTGGTAGAGTATCACGTTGAAGTCGAAGATATTAATGAAGCCGATATTGAGATGTTGAAGGCATGCACTATTCTGTTAAGGATGACAACAGCGAAATGAGATGACTTTTCTCGTGGTGTTGTTTCTCGATGTTGAGTGGAGGTGGAGGAACAGCAACCACCCCAAGATTATGTGTGGAAACATGTGACCTATAGGTGTGAGTGATGTCCAGGTTTACATTAATCCCATATATTTTGTTAAGGTTGGAATCTTGGTGGGTGGGACCCCAGAATATATGGTGTAGACCTGGTTGAAGGATGGAATGATGGTCGAGTTGATTGAAGTCACTCCCAATGATGAGTTTTGAGTCGCTTCCCAACGCAGTGTTAGAAGTTAACCCATCAAGGTGGAGACTTCGTATGATGGATGATTTGGTGAATGATAGATGTCGCAGGTGAAGTATGGCTCACTGTCAATAATGTACTTGAGACATAGGGTTTCCAGTGCTTTATTGATAGCATGAGGCGAAACGGTGTGACAATAGCTATGTGTGTGTGTGTGTGAGTGTGTGTTTGTGTGTGTATGTGTATCATTACCCTGATAGTAACATTCAAAATGTAGATGGTGGGTGGATGATGACATGGGGTGATTGAAGGTAATTTTGGCTGGGTTGTAAGTCGGGGTGAATTTGATGTTGATGAGATTGGTGGGATGATTTGGTGAGGAGCGTCGACTGGGGTGGTTGCTTCTTTTACGAGTTGATGAAACAATTACTGGTATTGCTGACAATGAATTAGTGGTAGGTAGATAGGCCGGGGGTGTTGATGTTGTTGTAAAGTGTTGTAGCGATTGAAGTAGAAGGGTAGTAGAAGGTTGCGTAGTAT